TGCTGAAACAAAACATGGCACACCAAGCTCTTCTGCAATAGATGTTAAAACCAGTCTCAAATCTTGTCAGTGTTACAACTTAATAAATTACAATAAGATCTGTATTTCAGCAACCTCCAAATTTCACTCTAACTCACAAGTGATCTTAAAAGTAAATTTTAACTCACTTACCCCCCAACCCCTTCAAAAACCAAGAGTGATATATCTTACTTTTCCCCTGATGGTGAAGAAGGCACCCAAGTCTGGGCTATAAATACCCATCCTTGATATTCTGTTACTGCATACTTTCATACTTATAATATCTACATTCTGTTATTTCCCTTCAGCTTTGGCAGCAGCAAAAGAAATAAAAAGTAAACTGTCCGTGTGAAGGGCAATCATTTTCTTTGCTCACAATAACTTGAAATCAAGGCAGGTTGATCCCATCTCATACACTTTTCCTGCCTGTTGTGGAGTCAGGCGTTGGTCTCAACAATTCTCCTGGGTCATCCCTTCCAACTCAGGATATTCTATGATTCTATGTTTGCTAAATCAGCAGGCAATAAAAATGCTTATTTTTTTGAAATATTTTAGCTCAAATGGATAGCAAGAACAGAATAAATGCAGAACAGGTGGGATGCAACACGTGGGATAAACAGCTTGACTCTTGGGATAAACTGTTTTGTGGGGGGATTTTTTTTTTTTAACTAAACCTTCCAGTAAATGTTATTTTTCTCATCCATTCCTCAGTTCTGAAGATCACAGTGTTTTTCGAAGCTTTGTTTTTTAATTACTGAATTAAAAAAACCCAAACCTTGGAGCTCAAAGGCTCTGAGTCTCTAATCAAATCCACAGGAGTAACCTCCCAGTCTCACCATCCACGCACACAGGGCCCCCTTGCAGGGATCATCAAGGCCACTTCAGCAACTCTGAACAACTCATGGAAGTGAAGATTTGTTGCTCAGTCTGACACTCTACGAGTCATCAATTTTGCAGCAGTCTCAAACTTTAAAGACAAGACACTGCTATCTAAAAAAAAATAGCCTGTCACCCTAATTTCAAGGGTCTTCTTCTTCTCTCTAGCCTTTTACTGGAGTATTTTCCTAAATTTCAAATATTACCCCAATATCAAGTAGAAAGTGGTGGAACCAAAGTGAGCTGAAGAACCACTTGCTTCCTTCAGATTTCCCAGAGAAGAAGGATGTTCTGTTCAATCTTGGAGTACAATTATGTCAGTAATTTCTAACTTAGAACTGATTATTCTCTACTAAGATCAAAAATGGTTTTCTTGGTCATTTAGATATTTGTGCATACACATTAACACAACATAAATTCTTTTCTAACAAGACCTCCTACCCAGTCCTTCTGTGGGTTTCCATGAACTACTTACAAGAAGTTAATTTTGCTACAAAGCCATTATTTTCTATCATTAAATTATCTATGCACATGTGGAGTTAGGAGATGTAACACAAGAACTACCACTTCCTCTAGTGATGGTGAGGACAAATTAAAAAGGTCCAGACTAAAAGGCTGGAGAACCATAGAAATACCCTGCTAGCCCTCAACAGGCTGTGGTTAAAGCTAACTTGGCTGCAGCTTTTTAAAGAATGAGTTAAGTGCTTGAGTAGAAGAGGCTATAAAAACGCTCTGTGCATCTCTATTTGTGCACAATGCATATTATCAGCTGTGAAACTCACCCAGTATGGCCACAACTTCATCATCCTGGATTACTTCCAAAGACCCCGAAACCACAAAGCAAAGGCTGTCGACGCTCTCTCCAGCATGGTAGATCAGGTCGCCCGGGGCACAGTGCACCGTCTGGAATTCCATGGCAAGCGCTCGGAGGCACCCGTCGCTGGCCAGCCTGAAGGCTGGGTGCTCCTTGAACACTTTGCGGTTCAGATGCACGCAGATATCTGCTCTCATGTCCTTAGGGCATATCTGCAAAACCTAAGAAGGAAATCAGGCAATCAGATCCTGTGCACGGCTTATATGTGCATGTTATCCCCAGTTTACAACACGGGGTTTAAGAACCACTTTCCTAATCCTTATAGAATTTATCTCATTGCACACATTCATATTATTCACACACATAGACCACAATACTAACTTATTCTTTTTCTTCAGCTATTGTAAAGTAGACTGTTTTCATCTCAGCAAAATGCTTTACTGGATATTGAATTGTCAGGGGAAGGCCTCAGGTTTTTAAGACAACAAAACTTAGAGCACAGGAGTAGAGAAAATGGTGGAGAAAAGCTTCCTGAAGGATTGTTCCTGAAAAGTGTAGGTCACTCTTTTGACAGGCAGATTCCATGAAAAGTCTGCACAAATTATATGCTTCAAGTGAGAGAATACTGTATAGGGAAGGGTAATCTCAGATTCTCTTAGAAAAAAAAATGTTATTAGAAATTGCATTAACTCATAGCACAGATTTGCAGGTGTTCAAATTCACCCCTCAGTGCCAGTAACAAGTTTTTTTGTTTACACAAGAAAGAGACTTTAAGGTATGATACTGTGTTGGGCAACTTTTGATCTTCCAGATGCCAATGTTCCTCACGGCAGTTCATGATGTGTGCTCCTAAGGGTACACAAACTGATGCTTAGCACAGTGGGCATAAATCAGGGCCATTTCTGAAGGTTTTTAGTGTAATACAGACAGCTGAGTGCAAAGAATACATATTACTGCATGTAAAGATTAAAAATTCCTGGAAAAAAACACTGGAAACACATAATATGAACAGGGTTTTGGGATGACAAAATCCCATGTCTGTGATGAAGTACATCCCATGATGTATTACTTGAGAAAAACACGCAGAAATGCAAGTCTGCCTCAGTTTTTTTTTGTCAGTAACATTAAGGAATACTCTGGGTGTGTCTTAGAGTTACTCCCACACATTTTCCTGGATGGAAAGAGATGGCTGCTCCACACAAACACTCCTGGAAAACATAAAGGTAACACAGGAGGCACTATGGTTATGCCTACATCTTGCAATGGGGCTCTGTGTAAGATCTGAGGAGAGCTTCAAGTTCATTGCTCTGGGCACAGCACTGGTTCCAGATATTATGCTTGCCACTCCAAAGGCAAATGACTCCACCACCAATATCATCATCTTTGGCCCACCTCCAATCAGACCTACTATTACAGATATTACTTCTGAAAGAGATATATTTCTATTGCACTTAAGTGTAGGGCTCTCATGGATGATCTCTCTTGGCTGCCCCACAATTAGCAGCAGCCAAACCTGCCAACTGTCAGTTTTCCAGGTTCACGGAAATTAGCTGGGGTAGCAACACCAGCATTTAACATGGGACACGGGCAGCAGCCATAGCTGTCTGCAATTATCTCATCTACTCTGGCAACAAAAACACTCTGTATTTGCAGATGCTTGCCAAACTTTGCTACTGGAATTATACACTCTCACTTCACAGTTCCTTGAATGTCATGCACAAAAAGGGTTGTTGTAATAGAAACAGGAGTAAGAAAACATGAATATACAGGAGAATATTTAAAATTAGGCTCTTATCCAAAACCCCCTTGGTCTCCCAGCCCAAGATAAAGTTTCCACTCTCCATTTAGAGAAGTGGTCTCCAGACTTCACAAAAACTAAAGGGATTAAAGACATTTGAGAGCTACAGACAAATGGTAGACGACTTTCATTTGTATGGGAGGTGGAGGTAAGAAACATATCCTCATGGATTAATTTTAGAATTTTTCAGCAGCTCTTGTTTAAATTTTCTTATACTGGCATTTTCTAGACTTGCAGATTTTGCTTTTAGCCAATTATGCACTCCTTGGCATGCCTGCAGTTAATTTGTGGCCTACAAAATAGTGAGAAAACCAAGTCTGTGCTAAGTTTGTCTTTAAATATCTGCTTCATCCGTAGAAAGCTGCACTGCATTACACAGCAGCATAGCTACCACGGTTCTGTCTCTGAAGCAATACATGTTTTATTCATTGCATGACATCCTAGAAATTATATACAGGCATCAAATCAACAGAGCTCAGAGCTGAGAGTTTATGGATTGGCATAGCCATTAGTCAACCTCCTATCTGTTAGCTTTTGCAATGCAAATGAACGTTGATTTCTTGGTTTTACAGTCATGACTACTGGCAGTTCAGCTATGAACACACCAGTTATTGAAAACATCACCACATGAAGGTCTTTGGTGTCCTGATCATTTGAGACTTTTTTCCCCTGTTTATTAAGATAATTCTCAAAGGCTACAGTGAGTTGTTCTTGGTTCGGTTATCCTCCTGTCTCCAAAGGCATTCTTAGAGCATTTCTCTCCTTAAGAGAGGAAGCCCAGAATGAGCTTTGAAGATAAGCTAAACCAAACCTGTTTTACACAGCAGTGTTTTGTTGCTTTGTTAAAATGGTGAGAGTTGCTTGTACTGGGGGCAAATGAAAGCACTAGCATTCATTATACCATGTTGTTGAATGTTGTCTCTCCACCTTTCCCAAACACACCTACCTCAAACCCATAACTCTGCACAAAGATATTTTGTGAGGAAACAGACAGAGCAGCTTCTAATCTGTGCCACCCAGTACTGAAATACCATTTCTTTCTGAAAGCTAGTAGGACAGACAGTGCCTCCCAGAATCGTGGTCTGGGACCTAAATTACACATACGCTGAAGATCATTTAGGAAGGCAAACATTGCCCTCTGTACCCATTGGTCTCCAGACAGCCCAGTGCAAGGCCACATCTGTTCCACTCTGTCATAACTACACTTTAACAGCAGGACAGAGATGAGATTGTTTGCCCTTGAACTGCATCATCTACAGTTTAGAATATTAAATTAAGCCACAAGCCAGAAGGCCGGTGACCAGAGCATTTGTATGATTTCCTGAATGAACCACCCCACAAGTCATCTCTCTTTGCAAGCAGAAGAAAAACAGTATCTACCTCCATAAAAGCTGGCAACTAATAGGAAAGCAGCAAGTAGCTGCTTTTGTACATTTGTTCTGGTGAAGGGACATTTTTTATTTTAAAAGACACAATGGGAATTTACTTGTATGAATTGGGATGATAATATTTGCTTCACATAAGGCAGATTTCAAACAAGATATTATTATTACAGTAATGACTTCCAATTTTCATTAATATCTTTAGCCTGCACACAGAATATTACACTAAAATCCTAAAAAGACAGATTTTACTTTGCATTAAGGCCCACAGAGCCGTAAAGACCCTTACACAATAGAAATACTGCAAAAAAAATCTCATTTGAAGAAATTCTGAGGTTGTGTTAGAACTTGGAACTTTTTATTTAGTTATCTTTTTTATTTACTGAAAACCAAACTCTTTCCTTCATCATTTTTATACTATTTCATGCCACAACACCAGCAAAACAAACATATTTCTACCACTAACATATGTCAGTATGACAGAATATCTGAAATACTGCATTTGAAAGTTTAAGGCAAGATACTGCTTGGAACTATTTAAAGAATATTTGTCTTCTTTACTAAGAAAGTGCCTCCTGTTTATTTTAATAAAATTCTTTCAGGATGTGACTTCTTTCCTTGCAGTTTAATTTACTTACCTTTTCAGTATCTATTCCTCTGGACATAGACCAGGTGGAAACGATGTAATCCATCACACGTTCACTCAGCCCTTTGGGGACCTGGTAAAGCTTTAGAAAGTCCCGGACGCTGTTCAGCATTTCGTGATATCTGTTTGTGTTAGCATACATTTGCTGAAATATTGTTGTCACATTACCAAAAATGGTTGCATACAGAAGGGCTGTAATAAAGAAGAAAAACAACAGATAGAACACGTAACAAGTTGTGATGATTGGTCTGTGTCCCACTGTGCTTTAGGATTGGAAATGCCAGAGGCCTAGAAATGCATGCAGTGTCAGTGCAGTGTTAAGAAGGCCTGATAAGCACAAGCATTTTATAGGTCCCCTTCAGCACTACAAATTGAGGACCACCACCCGCTTTTACGATGGCAACATGGAGTTCCTGAAACACAACTATTTGTCTTTTTCCATCAACTACACCAGTAGTATCCAAAACCTTATGAAACCACAAAATAAGAAACAAGAATTTTAAGACAAATAGCTCGACAGCAAATGCTTTAATTTCCTCTCTGGTTTAGAGCACCTGTGTTGAAATGCTGTCAGTGACAGATTCCCAAGCTTTAAGTGCATTACCAAAGTAGTAAACTGAGTCATCATTTCCCACCTCGGTGGGACAACAACAGTGCCTCAAAGCAGAAAATGGAATATGTAATAAACAGCTACCATGGGTCAGTGATTTATAGATGTAAGTTTAATAATACATAAAAACCTTCACATTATGTTTTATATTCTTCAGGCAGAAGAACAGCAAGGCCTGAGGCAAGGGCTAACGCTCTTAAAGGCAGACCACTGCACAGTCCTCCGGACTTCACTCAACATAGTTATGAAGCCAGCTGGTTCATCAAGATGGGTTTAAGAATAAACACGAGACAGAAAAAAAGACAGCATTTCCAAGTGTGGACAGAAGCAGATGAAAACACACAGGACTTGACAAGATCCACCTGCTGAAGCCCAAGACAGAACAGCAGGTCGGTGGCAGTCTCAACGGCCACGTTTTGATGGCTTGCAGAGGCTGGGGCTCTTCCAGCCAATCCAGCCCTGAATGAAAGGGAAGGACAGGAAGGCTCAAGGGGAGCTTTCCTGTGTTGTGAATCATGCCAGTGATATGTGAAAGGCTGGCTGTAGAGGGGGCAGGAACAGCAGCAGATGCACCAATAACAGCCAATGTAAGTGTTCTGGCTTGGTAAAGAATTTCTCCCTATTTATCACTTCCCGGCCCCAAAAAGAGGCAAAAAATGGTCAGTATCACACCTGTTCCACTTGAGATAAAATTAAATAATTGAGAAATCATACTTCTAAAACCTAAAAGAATATTTTGCCTTATCTAAATACCCCTTTTTGCTGTTTATTTTCTCCTTCACTCCCTCTTCAAAAAAAAAAAATAAAAAATAGATTCCTCATCTCATTCATTCCTTTGAGAATGCAGCTATTTATTCACGTCAGTGTTATAAGCAGATATCCTAAGACAACTAAGAGGCTTTAGAACTTTATGACCAACAAAAAACCCTTTGATAATGTGCAAGAGAAACTTATAGGACTGTCCTGTCCCTGATCATTAAGAGGTCCAATTTAGACTTGCTTGAGGCTTTTCCACTGCTGATTCTCCACAAAATTCCTTCTTGATGCTGCATGACTTTTCTTTTTATGAGTTCCTGTAGAGACCAGCTCTCCCTTTTATCAAGTACCCTTCTGTACAGATGGGTATAAAATATATATATGAAAATGTGCACACTCAGTTTAAAAAAAGTGGGAGTATGAATAGGGATACAGTGACCAGAAATGTGTAGATTATTTGTTTAACCTTGTGACTCCTGAGCTAAACCATGCTGAGAAATCTGACGTAATGAGTACTGAAGAATGAAGAAAAGCTTCAAAACACAGATTTACTATAAATGCTCCTTAATCCATGAGTATTTTGTATTTGAACACCATTACCTTTCCCTAACTATGTCCTGTTTAGCTCTCTGTTATGCAGATGCAAACACAACCCTACAGTACTGCTACCTTAGGCTCTACTTACAGTCTTTTACCAGGTGCCCCAGGAGAAACCAAGCCCAGGACTTCCAAAACTGCAGAGTCCCACTGGCAGGACACTGCAGCCACACAAGGCATCCATGAACACCATTCTTTTGCCAGCCAGCATAATGCAGAAAATAGGTGACATATCAGGAAGAGGGTCACAAGTGAATTCTCATCCAATGATTTCTAGGCAACCATACTTGTGTGCATACAGCCATCTCTTGCTTTCTGGCTAACAGTGGGACCTGGAGGTTCAATATCTTGGGAACTATAGCTCTACACCCATAAAATTGAGTCCCCACTCTATCCCATTACTGTCCAGCCACATGAAGCCTAATGAAAAAACAGCAAGTTGGTTCTTCATTTTGATTATTATGAGGCAAGCAGTTCTAGCGCAATTTCCACTGCAATCTGCAGCTACTATGCTCCAGTATGACAATTCCCTTGGCAAGAAAAATGATTCCTGCCTACATTAAATTTTTATTAAAAAAAGAACAAACTTAACAATCCTTAGTTTATCATTAGCTAAACATTTTATTACTATTAAAACACATTACAGCCAAGGATTTTTGCAGCGTAATATAGGGTAGGTATTAGCATATTAAACCTTGACCTCTTCTGCATAGAAACAGCTAGCTGCATTCCTTTCCCTCTGTCCTGGTTTGGAGCAAAACAGAGCTGTCCTGTTCAATGTTTTTTAGCTTTTTAGCTAAATCATAGAATCATAGGGGTGGGAAGGGCCCTCGAAAGATCATCCAGTCCACCCCCCCTGCCAGAGCAGGGTCACCCAGAGTACATCACACAGGAAGGCGTCCAGGCGGGTTTTGAATGACTCCAGTGCGGGAGACTCCACAACCTCTCTGGGCAGCCTGTTCCAGTGCTCCAGCACCCTCACAGGGAAAAAATTTTCCTGATAGTCACCTTGAACCTCCTATGCTCCAATTTGCACCCATTACCCCTTGTCCTATCACAGGTCATCACTGAAAAAAGCTTAATTCCATCTTCCTGACACTCACCCCTTACATATTTGTAAACATTGATGAGGTCACCCCTCAGTCTCCTTTTCTCCAGGCTAAAGAGACCCAGCTCCCTCAGCCTTTCCTCATAAGGGAGATGCTCCACTCCCCTCATCATCTTTGTAGCCCTACGCTGGACTCTCTCCAGCAGCTCCCTGTCCTTCCTGAACTGAGGGGCCCAGAACTGGACACAATACTCCAGATGCGGCCTCACCAATGCAGAATAGAGGGGGAGGAGAACCTCTCTTGACCGACTAACCACACCCTTTCTAATGCACCCCAGGAGGCCATTGGCCTTCTTGGCCACTAGGGCCAAGCTCTTTTAAAGCTCTTCTAATTAACTGCTGTACCTGAAGTAAGCAGCGTTTTCATAAACTAACTGGTTTCAGCAGTGATAAGACTTCATGGTTAGAGTCACTGCCAGGGGTTGGTGAGCAGACCACACAGAGGGGGGCAGAGAGTACACCGCACCCGTGGAGAGGAGCAGGCAGGAAAAGTGACCCTAAGGATTCACCAATGGGGTATTCCATCCCATAGCCATCACATCCAGTAGAAGCTGAGGGATCAGAAGGGGCAAGCCCTTCCATCACCCCTTCTGTGCTCTCTCTTCCGTCGTCTTCTTTGGCTGGGCTGCTGGCTGCACCTGCAGTGGCTGGCATCTGAGGAGGACTTCGTCCAATCCTGCCTTTGATCCTGAGCCGTGTGTTCCTGAACTGAGTTCCAGAGTCCAGATCCTGTGCTCCCTCACCATCTGCAGCTGAGTCCAGCCTGGGACCCTCTCCCCGGGGGCTGCTCCACAACCAGGGGTGATGGTGACATATTGCCATCAGGGGGGAGTTGGGTTCAGCACTAATTTTGTATACATTTGTACATATTCTATTTTATTATAAGTCTCTCTCCCTTGTTCACTTTCTCTTTCACTTTCAGGGGTGGGGACAAGGGGTTAACAGAGAGCATCTGTTACGGTTCTGGGGGCAGCCCTGACCCTTAACAGAGAGCATCCGTTACTGTTCTGGGGACGGCCCTGACCCCAAACCACAGCACCCTCTTTTCAAAGAAATAATGAAATGAACCCACTGCAATACACTGCAGCCACAGAAACATTTCAGAAGCACACTCTCCTACAAGAAGAAAGTTGGGCAATTTATGACAAAGCAAAATCGCCAACACCTCCTCTTCATGAATGTCAAGATCCCTCAGACAGGGTAGAGCCACATCCCTCAACATTAATATTCTTTCAGCACCCTCTTTTCAAAGAAATAATGAAATGAACCCACTGCAATACACTGCAGCCACAGAAACATTTCAGAAGCACACTCTCCTACAAGAAGAAAGTTGGGCAATTTATGACAAAGCAAAATCGCCAACACCTCCTCTTCATGAATGTCAAGATCCCTCAGACAGGGTAGAGCCACATCCCTCAACATTAATATTCTTTTCTGACAATGAAGAAAACCACATTGTCCAAAACAATGTGGCTATCTATTTACAATGCAGTCTGTGTCACCTCATTTAAACCAGTGTTTAAATAACGTCAAAGATAAAAGCATAGTAATTTCAATAGGCAATTACCTGCACAAATGAATCATGAAGGTCAGACACAGGTTGGAAAGGTCACTAAATCATCTGCTACTTTTAATGATGTAACAAATAAGAATAGAGAAATAAATACAAGTCAGTGCAGGTCTCAGCTACCACAGTAAAAGATTTGGGATCTGATTTTAGAATTATAAAGAGGAAGAATTTCTATCTGTAAGAATGCAATTACCCCAATTACAAATGTGAGTGCTGCATGCAGTTCCTGAGATGAATCATCAGACTGATGATTTGTTCAAAATGCACTTATCCAAAGCCTCTGCATACAAAATGCTGTTGTATAGTTCTTCTGTGCGCAAGTGAGACCAGACTCAACTAGTGAACAACCTCTTATATCTTGCCTCTAGATCTCATATCAAGATCTGCCGTGCTTTCTAAAACTGAACTGTCTTCAGTTTTACCTTCTGGACAGCTGATCCAGAAAGTCTGCCTGCACAGAAGTTCCACTTAACAATTAAAAACAAACAAACAAAACCAACCCCCTCTGACATACTTAAGGAGTAGCCTGTGCAACTCAAATATGTTTCAAA